GGTTTTAAATTGCAGTTTTCTTCTCCAGGCTATCTAAAAGTCCTTTAACAAAATGAGGTAGTAATGGTAGGGCCAGAAAACTGCAACCACAATAAGATTAACAGTAACTCACAAATAGTTTTGGACACTGAATTGTGTCTTATTAAGAGTAGAAGAATATAAACAAGGATAATCAGCAGTCGTGCTTTTTTTTTCCTCCGAAAAAGTGACGTAGGCTTTTAAAATTGTACTTACCCAACAACTACTACAGATTTTGTCTGTGAATCTCTCAATGTATTTCTACACTGAGTGCTCTGTCATCTTACTGCAGGAACTCCTGATGAGTCTATCATTGTGGCATCTAATCAACCACCTTCTCTAGTAGCTAGCTGTCCTTCTCTGGCAGCTCCTCAAAGATCTCAATTTGGTTTTTAACATTAATGATTTTTACTTACTTCCTTTTCTGCAAGACAGGTTAACTTTATTTTCCCCCGTTCACCAAAGCAGGAAATAGAGCTATGGAGAGGTGAAAATGACTTGCCCAAGATCAGACTCAGTGCTTGGGCAGAGTCAGTAGAAGCCAAGTACTCTTCCAGCCCTATGCTGCTACCAGAAGCTAATTTTTGTCCCTTTTGATAATCAGAAAAAACTTTATCATCATTAACTTCAGAAGAAACCAACTTTCTCTTCAGCAGATTACATTTTATAAAAGAGAGGGTTCATTCCCTACTTGAAAAGCAGTCAGCATACTCAGGACTGATCATTCAGCTGCTATAGCAGTAGAGCTGGTAGATCTATTTCAAATAGCTTGGGCCAAGACATTGTTTTTATGGCTGTGTGAAGCTTCAGGTGGCGGTTCGGTTCAGAGGAGATTTGGCCTGATTTGGTGGCCAGATCTCCGAATCCAAATCAAATCAGGGAACCAATTAAAAGGTCTGAATTGATCCAAAGCTCTCCAAATCTTCAGAAAAGATTCAGAGAGCTTTGATGATTTGGGCAGTCTCCAGTGGCTGCAGCAGGGAGCTGCAGCTGACTCCGAGCTGGTAAGCTCTAGGGGCAGGGGAACAGGGGCTGGGAGAGGGGTGAGGAGACCATGGGGGGGCTCCTGCC